TAACAGACAGGGTAGATAGTAGTCCCAATAAACAAACGAACATACTGTAAACACATTGAGACAAGTATGCATGGTGCTTGAAAACTTGAAAACAACGTGTTCAGTGTTATTCTTTAAACTTCCTCCGTGACACAGTGTACCAGCTAATCTGATTCCTTCCCGGCCATTGTTACATTTACGCTGAGTGAGGTCAATGAAGACGCGTCTACGCGTCTACGTACTTGCTTCCCTTAATCGTGACAGGATCAGCTATTGTAGGGTTCAAATCCCATATCTGGACCAATTGTATCCTTAGGTTGACAGCGCCATATCGGTTTCAAAAAGAGGGGGTAAACTCCGCGGTATTCATGTCGCCTTTGCCCCAACGTTAAGCCTAATATGACGTGCTATAACTGAAATACCGCCCAGGAAGCGTGAACGAAGTGTGCTGAACCACTGATCAATCCAGAGGAGACCTGTCTGAGTACAAACGACCATTAGTGTTATAACAGCATGCTCCCCTCGATCCACTGCAGGTAGCCGCGGTAACCATATCTCTTGTCCCTATAAACTATTTAGACAGTCTCTTCCATGATGTTTTCCAAACAGATTCCCGATTCGTAACCTAACAATCTTCTAACCACCTTGCCATAATGGACATGAATCGTAGTTCCATGAAACACGTAACACAGTTCGCGTCCTACAAGATTTGTGTTGAGCTATATGTATGTATATCTTCTATCACGCAACTCTATGTACTGGACAAGAATCGAGGTTATTGAGGATGACAAATCTTTACCGGTTCGGTTTCAAGCTAAATAAATATGTAAGTACTCTTAGTTGAAGGTTGTTGTCGGGGATCGCATCATGTCACACATGTCGTTAAACCACGGCGCATCCACTTTCCTGGAGCTTATAAAGTACGATGCAGATTTGGATCGTGGATATCAGGAAACCCCGGTGGGACAGTTACTCTGTTTCGGCTGGTCAATATGGAAATAATAGGGAGCAAAAAGGTTAAGGCTGACGCTGCTACACGGCGAGTATCATACACGCATCGGTAACTAGCAACATATTAGCATGGTGCAAGTTTTCACATTCATTTGTTGCAACAATTATAGGAAGTAACATCCACTTTAACTAGTTGTACGACGTTTGACCCGAGAGCACTTGTCAGTTATGTCACCCGTCTGTAGCCTACGTGTACAACGTGGGCGCCCCCAGAAACAAGTAACTGCAATACAACCTAGAAGGGGAACCTCATTGACCTGTCGGAAATGAAAATAGTGAGAAGATGCTTGGAATTGTTGTGCAGTCAGATTTCATTTATTGTCCAATTTCCATTTCATCTTTTAAAAGACAAAAAGTTGTTTTGAAATTATTTGCCACAGAAAAACAGACTAAAACTATGATGTTATGTTAAGTGATTTTCACATGCCAAAAATTGAAAGCAATTCAAAATTTAAATGTTTCAGAATTTTCTTTGTAGAATCCATGATACTTCTTGAGTTTGTTTATGTTTCAGTAATTAAACCTTTAGTCCATTTTCACGAAAAATACAAAAACTTTAAATTGAAATGAAAGTTATAGAAACTACATACGAAGCCACACAACAAAGTTACTGTATGGTGTAACGCTATTCAAACATAACAGCATGTGTTTATATGTGTCTACGCTATCATTAGCGCCATCATGTCTAAGGGTCACAGACGTATTGCTATTATAATACAAGCATTTTTGCTCATTTGTTTGAAATTGAAAATGAAATTCATTTTGTACTTGTATATATTTCCCAAATATAGACGACTGGCGAGGAAGCTGCAGTCTCCTCCTGTTACCCTGGTAGACATGGTCCTGAGTAGCCCCGGTCTCCTCCTGTTACCATGGTAGATATGATCCTGAGTAGCCCCAGTCTCCTCCTGTTACCCTGATAGACATGGTCCTGAGTAGCCCCGGTCTCCTCCTGTTACCCTGATAGACATGGTCCTGAGTAGCCCCGGTCTCCTCCTGTTACCCTGGTAGACATGATACTGAGTAGCCCCGGTCTCCTCCTGTTACCCTGGTAGACATGGTCCTGAGTAGCCCCGGTCTCCTCCTGTTACCCTGGTAGACATGGTCCTGAGTAGCCCCGGTCTCCTCCTGTTACCCTGATAGACATGGTCCTGAGTAGCCCCGGTCTCCTCCTGTTACCCTGGTAGATATGATACTGAGTAGCCCCAGTCTCCTCCTGTTACCCTGGTAGACATGATACTGAGTAGCCCCAGTCTCCTCCTGTTACCCTGGTAGACATGATACTGAGTAGCCCCAGTCTCCTCCTGTTACCCTGGTAGACATGATACTGAGTAGCCCCAGTCTCCTCCTGTTACCCTGGTAGACATGGTACTGAGTAGCCCCAGTCTCCTCCTGTTACCCTGGTAGACATGATACTGAGTAGCCCCGGTCTCCTCCTGTTACCCTGGTAGACATGGTACTCAGTAGCCCCAGTCTCCTCCTGTTACCTTGGTAGACATGATACTGAATAGCCCCGGTCTCCTCCTGTTACCCTGGTAGACATGGTACTCAGTAGCCCCGGTCTCCTCCTGTTACCCTGGTAGACATGATACTGAATAGCCCCGGTCTCCTCCTGTTACCCTGGTAGACATGGTACTGAGTAGCCCCGGTCTCCTCCTGTTACCCTGGTAGACATGGTACTCAGTAGCCGCGGTCTCCTCCTGTTACCCTGGTAGACATGATACTGAATAGCCCCGGTCTCCTCCTGTTACCCTGGTAGACATGGTACTCAGTAGCCCCAGTACCACCAAGGACACAGTCCACCACAGATCGCCATACATGAAACTAAATGACAGGATAAAAAAGAAAGTAGAATCCTTTGTTTAATGGTGTCTGAACGGAAACCAACAAGACATGGCGGTGATGTGATTGATGCAGGTAGCATGGGGATGTATTGGACCTTGGGTTTGCAGTGTTTATGCGAATATTTTCAGCCATGTCACGATTCGGTAACTTGTCAATGTCTACCTTCTTCAATTTCAATTGACATGTTTCAACTGGTCAGTACATGCACGTTGACACTGGTCAGTACATGCAAGTGATACTGGTCAGCACATGCACGTTGACACTGTTAAGGACATGCAAGTGATACTGGTCAGCACATGCACGTTGACACTGTTAAGGACATGCAAGTGATACTGGTCAGCACATGCACAGTTGACACTGTTGACACTGTTACATGCAAGTGATACTGGTCAGCACATGCACGTTGACACTGTTAGGGACATGCAAGTGATACTGGTCAGCACATGCACGTTGACACTGTTAAGGACATGCAAGTGATACTGGTCAGCACATGCACGTTGACACTGTTAAGGACATGCAAGTGATACTGGTCAGCACATGCACGTTGACACTGTTAAGGACATGCAAGTGATACTGGTCAGCACATGCACGTTGACACTGTTAAGGACATGCAAGTGATACTGGTCAGCATATGTACGTTGACACTGTTAAGGACATGCAAGTGATACTGGTCAGCATATGTACGTTGACACTGTTAAGGACATGCAAGTGATACTGGTCAGCATATGTACGTTGACACTGTTAAGGACATGCAAGTGATACTGGTCAGCATATGTACGTTGACACTGTTAAGGACATGCAAGTGATACTGGTCAGCATATGTACGTTGACACTGTTAAGGACATGCAAGTGATACTGGTCAGCACATGCACGTTGACATTGCTCAGCATATGTACGTTGACAATGTTAAGCACATGCACGTTGACACTGGTCTTCACATGTACGTTTACATTGGTCAGCATATGTACGTTGACACTGTTAAGGACATGCACGCGTTGATGCTGGTCAGCACATGTACGTTGACACTGGTCAGCAGATGCACGTTGACATTGGTCAGCAGATGCACGTTGACACTGGTCAGCAGATGCACGTTGACATTGGTCAGCACATATACTGATGGAGGTGGAATCACGAAATGTAAGCATGTTCAGGTTAAACATTATCCTTGTATCCAACAAACTACTGTCAGACTACTGTTCTCAATGTACCGTGAGATGTGACAATGTTATCGCTCAATTCATATTAAAAACTCAACTGACACCCCTACCACTAACATGAGTGAGAAACTGTCGGTAAAGCAGTTACCATCCTAGTGTTGGAAGAAGGTGATGTAGTCATTGGAAGTTTTCATAAAACCCATGCTTTCTTCTACTATATCAATTATATAAATTGAGTCCAAGTTGTAACTGTCACTGCATATCATGTTCTGGTATGTCAACGTGTATGACATTGTGTTACATTGTATGACACTGTGTGACACTGTATGACTGAGTGACACGATGACACTGTGTGACACTATGACACTGTGTGACACTGTATGTAATGTATGTCACTGTATGACACTGTGTGACACTGTGTGATACTGTATGTCACTGTATGACACTGCATGTAGCTGTATGACACTGTATGTCACTGTATGACACTGCATGTAGCTGTATGACACTGTATGATACTGTACGTCACTGCATGACATTGTATGTAGCTGTATGAGACTTTCAATGTATGACACTGCATGCACTGTATGACGCTGTATGTAGCTGTATGACACTGTGTGACAGTGTATGTCACTGTATGACACTGCATGTAGCTGTATGACACTGTATGATACTGTACGTCACTGCATGACATTGTATGTAGCTGTATGAGACTTTCAATGTATGACACTGCATGCACTGTATGACGCTGTATGACACTGTATGTCACTGTGTGACTGTATGACACTGTTTATCACTGTATGACACTATGTGACACTGTATGACACCGTGTGCCACTGTTTGACACTGTATGACTGTATGACACTTTACGACACTTCATGTCACTGTATGACACTGTATGACACCGTATGTCACTATATGACACTTGGTAGATATGAATGTGTTACGTACGTTTAAACAGTATTAGAAATAACTTTGTCTGAAATGGCTGTTCTATTCTCCACCCTACAGGCGGTTCGTGTTTGCCCCCCGGTGCCGCGGTGTTGCCGCCAAGCGAGCCCAGGCAGCTATCATAGACGCCGCCGACAGTGATGACATGCCAGCGTTAAACAAACAGTAAGTTGACCACGTTGCATTAGCTCTTTCTTCAGGTGTATAATTCTACTGTGGTATTTTGTTTTTGGTAAGAAAACTCTTATTCCCCAGACATAACCAGCAATAGTCGCGAAGCCAAATGTCAACTATTTATTGCTAAAGTGCAGTTATTTCTGATGTTGCTTATGTCTACCTGACTGTATACCTTGAATATGTCTGGAAAAACACATTACATTTTCTCAGACATATGATGTTTGTCGTTATTATTTCTTAGTGATAATCATGCATTTCCCAGTAGTTGTACTGAAGAATGTATTGTACTTATGACTACCAAAGGGTTTAACGTTAAGAAAACAAGTCGTAGACCATAACCACATTGTCACCACAACGACGCTGTGAGATCGACGATCAGAAGATCCTGGCCGCTACTAAGGGACACAACTCTGCCAAACGAATCGAGGAACCGCAAAAAAACAGGTTGCCCTCATAAAATTATGACATTTCAAGTTTAACTAACCAAAATGAGAACGGTTTTATTTAAGCTGGATAGATTCGTATTCTATTCTGGAGATAGATCCCCTGCTGAGATAGATAGACTACCGCCACTGTACCAGTAATCTCCAAGTTCGCGGAGATATTGATTAACCTGGACTGATGTAACTAACGTATAATGAGGAGATAAACATACTGTGTTGGAAAATCAGAGGTATATAACGAAATTATAATAGCTCTAAATTTGATTTAAAACCGAACGCATATGCCTCTGATTTTCAAACACGTTGCACGTTTATCTCCATTCTACCATAACCGCGTTATTAAGATTTTAAAAGATACATTCTGTATTGGAAATTCAGAGGTATATAACGTGATTATTCCCGTCTGAATGACTTTGATTAACCAGTCACAATCCAGTATTTACTGAAGTCATGGTAGAATGCCTTGTTTACTGTGTGACATCAGGTGAACTAAACAGCGGCCATCTTGTTGCAGACCGTCACTAGTGGACAACGACTGGAACACAGACGATACTGACTCCTACCAGAGACTGCAGTTCCTGGCGTCCAAACTGGGTCTCCGGCCTGTCAACGACGACAACACGGTACGCTGGTGCATTTACTGTAACCTTGAGTTGTGTAATGTGTTTAGTGCTCTGTAAACTCCATAACCATGTCGATAAGTGTCAAGATACCACAATACCTGTATGTCTTATGTCTGTGTTACTTTCTTCAAAACGCGCATGGGATACTGAGAATGTTGATTTGTTTAATCTATGAAACATTGTACAAAAGACAATATTATATTGATTGAATGATAGTAATATGTTCGTCAACTAGTGTAGTGCAGTTGCAAGCCATTTCCTAACACCAGAGCACCCTGTCCAGTTAAGGGATCCAAGAGTCACTAGCCCTGCACATGATCACTACATGCGGGGCCTTCATCATCGTCGTGTATACGACATGGTACTGCCGCCATGACTACAAGGTGTGAGGAGGGTATCAGATCTAACAATCAGGAATCGACTCACACTCCGGCACAGCGATGACTTAACATAACATCACTGCCACGGGCTAATTTGCATATCACGTGACCGGACTTTTCTCTTGTTTGTAATCAAACGCGCATATTCATAATAAGAAGAGTCTGGACTCACGAAAGCTTTTCGGCGCTCTCTTTATAATGTTTTACATTGTTACATATATATTCTTCCACAACTGCGACAGTTAGGTCTATGACAGTACAAATTTAGATATCAAACTGGCTGCATCGTTTGCTCTCCGTCGGCTTCGATGACTGCACGTGGAGCCGTACAACCTATGTAAACAAAGGATCGCTACGCAAATCGAAATAGTGTTACATGTTTTTGGATATTTTCTCAGTGAAACTAAACCATTCTATTAAAGATGTTTAGTTAGATGTGTAGGTAGACTCGTCAAAAATAAAAGAGTAAAAGAAATCTGTACATTATATTGAATGTACATTATATAGTGGAATCGACTGCGATAGGCGGGAATTAGACCCGTAAAACCGAGTTTCATGTCTCTATTGAGACGTTTACATTGCCGACAAGGTATGCGACAGAAGAACGCCGTACAGACATGGGATTGGTAAGAGTTGGATTCATTGGTGAATCACGACTTCCTCCCCCATCGGCGAGATGGAAGACAACGTGGTCACCGACGAACTATACGGTTTAAACCAAACAGGTCGACAGATTGTGAGACAGAAGTGTAATATGTAGGAAGCCATGGCTGACTTGGTGCTGGTTCGAGACAATCTGACAACAAATTCGTTGGATCGGTCAGAGACCACATCGTCACCATCTTCCCATCATCAGCCAAGAGAGGTATTTGTTTCAGTACCACAACGCTAATTAAAACACAACACACACTGTTGACTTCTTGTATAATTCAAACGTCAACGTATTGTAATGGCCTCCCCGTTCTCCGTATCTGAACCCGTTAGAATATCCCGAAATACGTCAACATACGTAACAGTCGCTGGCATCACTGGCCAACGTTTAGCAGGACGAATGGGGGAGACCTATACAGGACACAATCCGTAGACTGTGGCAAGGAGTACAGTACATGCTGGTCACACCTGGCACTGATGGTCACGCCAACACCGTGGACGGAGTGGACGTGCGACAATCAGTATGGCCATTATGTCTATACAGCAAGTCACTATCACATGTTTCAATCAAATTGAATGCAATACGCATTTAAGAGTGCATTATTTTCAATGCTGTGGACGACTCCCCGTCATGGCGTTGTGTTGAGACTGATTCGAAAGCCACGACTCTACAACAGCCGTCGAATCGTAGTCAATTCATGCTGGAGAAACAAAGCCAAGTACGTGATTAGAGAGATGAAGATTGTGACCTGGGCCCCATTGTTACAGTATAGGAGGTCAGGGCCCCGTTGTTACAGTATAGGAGGTCAGGGCCCCGTTGTTACAGTATAGGAGGTACGACAGTCGTAGCGCTACGATAGCTTTGTGAAGCGGGGCCCTGACCTCCAACCGATGGGACGTGTGAAGGTTGTTTATCAGAACAGAAGAGGTAATGCCCCTGATAACCAAGGATGGGTACCTCGAGGTAGAACCACCCGTCTTCATTGTATAAGGGACGTTTGATGGCGTGGATTTAACCACACCCGACAGCAGTTCAGACAGACCGTGGTTGGACGATAAGTCTGTTTCAGGAAGCATGATCACGTGTATGTTGTCATGCTAATATTGAATATACAATCATAACAACAAATCAGATTGTAGTTCCTCGGGACGTTATGACGAGGTACTACTGATGTGACCTTATAACAAGCACACTGAACCCAGTAAAACGAAATTCATTCACCAGCATCAATTACAGACCCTTTCCTCAAATGAATTGTAGGAGAGCTGCGTCTGTTTCCAGAGTTAACACGATAAGACCTCCTGCCCGGACGCCGTGTCTCAGATTTGTATTAACGAAGCAGTAGATCACACACCTCAGCAACGTCGACTTAATTAGTATTGACTGGCCCGTTGTAAACCTCAAGTGACCATAAAGCTTTTCTGTCGTATTTGTAAAATTTAATAATCGATGCGGTGACTTGAACAAGTGAAAAGGCTTGTATTTTAGGACATAAACCTAAAGGGTACCTCGTTTTTCCAAGCTGACCTAGTTATGATTTCATTTTCATTTTATTTCGGGTCGACTTGCTGACGTAAGTCAAGTAATTAAAACTTCAGGACGCGAACGGGGACTTCTACAGTAGGTTGCTGGTCAGCTGTCTCCAGGTGGATGGAGAAGTCCCGTCATTGGAGGCTGTATAACTCGAACTATGTTATTGCTTTATAACCTTAACCTAGACATATCACTCGAACTCCAATATCTCGAAATATCTTTTAATGTGGTGTAACTTGAGCCCCATAATTTAGATATACAGACTAAGGAGGGGTGACTTAACCATAATACCATATATCGTTTGAGGTGATATAACCCGAACCCAATAATTTCCATCTGTATTTTAAACCAGCGTGGAACTCTGTGATTTCTCTATGTCTTCTGGGGAGATGTAACTCAAACCAACACCACCTATGTACATGGTTTAAGGCCGTTTAACTAAAACACCATATTATGGTTATATCGCATTAAGGCGGATTAACTAAAACCGTACGAATACACTCTCTACGTAAGTTGTAAACGGTAACACGATACAGGTATATGACCCCCACCACTGTGGTTTAATACCGGTACTCCGTTTGATTCGAACTTCGACAAACTGGAATGTTTCACGAACGGTTCTTCGATGTCCCCACTAACCAGATTGTGTGATCATGGGCAGGTGCAATATTTGCACGCCTCCTTGTGGTGAGAAAGTGAATGCTTAAGACCGCAGTTGGTAATAGTACAGTTATAGCACGTGTTTTTCGGGGCATCAGGACGTGTATTCTACCTCGGAACCTTGACGCCCCATTCTCTTTAGTTAGAGATACGAGGGGCGTTCATTAAAGATTTCCCCTGACCCACTTGCAGTGGACTTACTGGAACAAAACTTGGCACAATTATTAGTCCAGCTCTACATAGCAGCCACCAAGAGTTACACACTTCTCCCATCGTTTTATGCAACTAAAGACCTTGCTTGAAAACGTCAGTACGTTGCGTATCAAACCATGACGTGACTTCCGAAATCAGTGTTTCATCATCTGGGAAGCGTGTTCCCTTAACAAATGACGTCATAGTTGGAAAGATATGGACGTCAGATGGTCCATGGTGTGTCTGTCGAAACAGTTTGCCTAGTTTTCTTGTCACATGTCCAAAAGAGCCTTTGAGCAACTGACTCGTACCTGCTTCTGAAAGGTGTGAGCAACCTGGGAATCCATCATGCAGGCACCTTATGCATGTGCAAATTGTCAGGAATGATTTTTCCACAGACCCTACACTGATCTTGACATCATGGGCTAACTGGCGAACAGTTATACGACGATCTCCCAAAATGGCAATCTCCACTTGACGGACAGTGTCTTCACAATGGCTGAATAAGGTCGACCAGGAATAGGAGCAGTTTCCACTGATTTCCGACCACATTTAAACTGGCGATGCCAGTGTTAAACTACGTCATACGATGGGGCATCCTCCCCATAAGTTGCTTTCATTTCATCAAAGGTCTCTTTTGGTGTGCGACCTTTCAAGTACAAAAAGTTGATCACTGCTCGGTACTCAATCTGGCTCCATTATCACACCTTTGTTCAATATAACGCTTGTCAAAGAAATAGCGTTAATAGTTCAATGCTGAAAATTCCACATGACCCATAGACATATGTGTCATTACTCACGTGAAGTTTCAGCCACATGTGAAAACCAGAAGTGGGTCAGGGGAAATCTGTAATGAACGCCCCTCGTACTGTCCTTTTTAGCTGCAAGCATCCCAACGCCATCCACACAAACATAAACACAAACACAAACACACCCACACCCACACACACCCAAACCCCGACGCACACACCCACACCCACACACACACCCACACCCAAACCCACGTCGGCTGAGAAAACGCTAAATGGACTGTGAGGTGTTTGATGATTTGCTGTCTGAGGTGATGACATAGTAATGTTGGTGTGGCACATCACAGATACAATTGTTCAGTTTGTCTAACGGCTGAGTGGAAAAATACGTTAGAAAGTTTTCATATTCATGACACTAACACTCAAGCTATGACGAGGAGCATGTCATTTTTACAAATTTCAAAACAAACTTAATTTCGGAAATTACCATCCCGACAAGTTGTAAATATTCCCGGCTCCTGACATGCACACCTTTCTGAAACAAACAAAGCTCCACGACAAGCATATTACAGAGCATTCACTGCCTTTTCCGCTCAAGGTGTGTGCTGATCCGCGTCTATTGTGTATCAGTGTAATAACCAAGGATATAAATGCTTCACGTCCCTGGCGGCAATACGCATGGCCAGCCGGACTCTCCATCAATACTTAATTACCAGAAAATCGACATCGTTTATTACCCAATACCTCGGTCGGCCCCCGCACAATGGAAATAACACAAATCGTGACCCACAAATATACAACTTATTGTTTTTGTGGTCTTTGTAATTTCCTCAA